TAAATCACCAAATCACACAAGACCTGGAAAATGCAGGTCACAGCTCAGGCCGATGTCGTTTCAAGAGCCTCACCGTCCAGCTCATGCTGCTCTCCCCAGGAGCCAGCAGGAGCCCGCGCACATGCAGGGCGGACGGTTACATGACGCATGGACTTCCCCACAGAGGCGCTGACGGGGACGCTGGGCCACAGGGACCCTTCCCTTCAACTCCCGTAAGAGGTTCGGGCTCTGACAGCTGCACTCTCTGGGGTCTTTCCAAATGAAACGTCCGTCACTAACGAAAATGAATATGCAAAGGCGCTTATTCCCCATACAGCAGTACGCAGGCAGTCAAATCATTTGTCACTGAGTTAATGTAATTATCAGGGCACTTTTAATTATCCCATATAAAATGCAAATAAGGTGAAGGGCTCACAGCACATGCTAATTGTGTTCATTATAATAATTAAATGGGAAGAAAGTTACAACGAGTCCTGACGTGCCACACAATAGAAGGATGCTTCTGATCTGACCCAACATTTTAATTAGAGACGGCGACCCTTCGGAAAGATGACCCCCCACACGCGGGCACCACTTCCACGGCAGGCTGTCTGCTGAAGACGCCCTGGGCGTGAGGGCTCAGTCCTGCCAGCTCACAGACTGAACGGGAGCCGTGAGCTGACAGCACAGCGTGGGCCTGGCTCACGGGGGAGCATCCAGCACCATCCACTTTTTTTTATGTTTCTCATCTCCTTTGCTCATTTTTATTCAAAATTAGCTGTCCACAGTGACCTGACCGTTATGGAATAAACAAATGCAAGTTTACGCCACAGGCTTCTTTCTTCTGTGGTGGGTTTCTCTTCTGCCGGCTTCTTCTCAGCTGCTGGTTTCTCGGTAGCTGCAGCCTTTTCCCCACCAAAGGCTTCTTCTGCTTCTTAAGGCCAACAGCCTTCTTTCCTTTCTTCCCGACCACAGGCTTCTTGCCTGGAACCCCCTTCTCATCTGATTTGGCTTCTAGTGCTGCTGCTGCTTTATCCACCCGCAGCTTGTGGTTCTCGGCCTGACGAAGAATGGTGTCCTGGCGCACGGTCTCTGCATATGGGTTTAGCTTCAACATGATCCTCAGGGTTTTCTGTGGATTCTCTTCAGGACTCTGCGGTGAATCTCTTGCGTGGTCCTCGGAGGGCTCTTTGGATCTCTGGGCTTTTCAACATTCTGCTCACGTCTGTACTGAGCATCCTGTGCATGGGAAGGCTGTAGTTACTCTCGAGGGAGGCAGCTCTACGCCAAGTGCCATCAGCTCATCTAACCTGCGGAAAGCACTTCCAGTCCAAATGCAGAAACGGCCCACGTGCCCTCCAGGTGCAAGTTTCAAAATGTTCAGTTTGCTTACATTAAGCAGAGTAATTCCAGGGATGTTTCTGAAGGCTTTGATGATACTGTTGTCCTCATTATAGATGATACAAGGTCCCCTGCGCTGGATACGACGACGGTTTCTCGTTTTGCCCTTGCCGGCCCTCGTTCGCTGAGGCATAGACCTTTTTTATATCATTCCAGGCCTTAAGTTTCTTAAGAAGCAAAACAGCCTCCTTGGTTTTCTTGTAGCCTTCAACTTTATCTTCAACCACCAAAGGAAGTGCAGGAGCTTCCTCAATGCGGTGACCTTTAGACATGACCAGTGCTGGTAAGGCTGAGGCAGCGAGGGCAGAGCAGATGGCATATCGTTTCTGTGTTGTGTTTACTCTGCGGTGCCAACGGCGCCAGGTTTTGGTTGGTGCAAACATGCGGCCCCCACGACACGTATTTTCAAAAGCACCCTGGCCAGAACGATGAGTTCCACCACCTCGGACTCTGGGAACTCGAGCCACAGCTCTGCCAGTACCCCAGGACTCGGCACTGGTTTGATGACCTGCCAATTCATGACAGCATAGGGCTGTCTATTGTTTTAGCACAAGTTGGTGTGAACAAAATTCACAATATCTGGTCGAATGGGAGCCTTGAACACAGCAGGCAAAGTGACATTTTTGCCAGATGTTTCCCCTTTTCAGAGAACACAGGTATCAGTGGAGGAGCACACGCCATGGCGGGGAGAGGAGAAGGCCACACTCCTCTCCACCCGGCGGCTCCCACAGGAGAAGCCATCCACTTTTTTAAAACTGATTTTATTGTGGCAAATATATACAACATGAAAGTTACTATTCTAACCATTTTTAAGCCTACAATTCAGTGGCATTAAGTGTATCCACAACATTGTGCGACCGTCACCATTACCCATTTCCAGAACCAATCCACCTCTTAGCGGAGCCACAAAGTTCCAGCCCCAGAGGGAAAATGCTCTCTCTGAGATCACTCAGCCAGGGACGGCGTGGGGTTAGACTCCAGGCTTGTTTCCCAGCCTGTGGTCCATCCGGTGCTCATCAGACACGCACTCACAGCTTCCCAGGACCTTTGCGGCTCCGGAGTCAGGCACACAGATGTCCAGGCGCAAGGACTCGCAGGGTGGCAGCGTCTCAATGCCTGGGTACCCTCCCCGCCCGGGTACACGTCAGGGATCACCAGCAGATGGGGCTGTGGACATCTGATTGCCTTAAGCGACACGGAATGAAATGAAACGTACACGGGGTGGGCTTTGCAGGACCTGGAATCTAGTCCTGTCTTGTGGTTCTTACGTCATCTCAGGGCTGGCATCACCCCAGAACCCCAGTCCTCACGGTCCACGAGGCAGGACAATTCCTGCACTTGCAGCCGCACTGAAGGGCTCAGGGGGTCCCGAAGCAGCGGATGGGAACGATTTATAAAGAATTCCACAAATATCAGGGATTATGCTTAGAAACAGCATCGCATAAGGCCCAGTGTCTCCGTGTTTGACAATTACTATCGTTTATATTTTGGATGATTTCTGCTGTATTTTTACCCTGTTCTTTCTTCTCAGAGATGCTGCACCTCAGCCACTGCCTTGGGGCTGAACTGACCTCTCTGACCTTCCTCTGAACCGGAAGTGGGTGTCCAGGTTGGTGTCCAGTCCTTCTGGGAGGCAAGGGGTTGACAGGGATGTCTGGCTCTTCCCACCTTTCTGATTTCTTCCTCACAGCGAGCTCACCCTCAACAATTATCCACGCGGCACTGACCAGCACCCGGTCTGTCTCCTCGTGTTGCTATTTGATGTGTTTTCTTGTTCCCGCGTGCTCGCTCGTTGCTTGGCCGCAGGCCTAGGTCGGCTGTCACAGGCCACCTGCACACACCAGCTCCCCGATCCCATTCCCCATCCTGTCTGGTGAGCCCAGAGACGCGGAGCAGGTGCTTTACCTACAGGAGAGGACCAGTCCGTGACCAGCGTCACAGGAAACCTCTCGGAAAGCCCACACGATTCCGAGCTCCGTAATTCTCACCACAGAGTGGTTAGCGGAGCTTGGAACTGTCCCGCACCTTCGCCGTGAAGAAACCGCCTGTGCGATGGCGTCGGGCCTGAGGGGGCGTGCTCAGCACCACCAGCACCCAGCACACACCCTGCCTCTCCAGCAGGAAGGTCTTCTCCTCCCCCAGCCACACACCAGCCAACGGAAACCTGGCAACTCAGCCAATGAGAAGCATCGCCCCCATGAGCGAAGCGCTCCCGCTCCTCCGATGGACTTTTCTCCAAAGCTCCCCTGCGGTCCCCTCTCTTTCCTCTATAAAGTAACGTTCTCATTTGTTTTCTGGACCTACTGATAAAGTCTTTTGCTACAGCATGCTTATCCAGAATTGCAATTATCTGTTATTCCCAAATAAACACATTTTAAAAATATATTTTGTATTGATTTCAGAGAGGAAGGGAGAGAGAGAAATAGAAACATCACTGATGAGAGAGAATCATCGATCGGCTGCCTCCTGCACACCCCCTACTGGGCATCGAGCTTGCAACCCAGGCATGTGCCCTTGACAGAATCGAACCCAGGACCCTTCAGTCCGCAGGCCGACCCTCTATCTACTGAGCCAAATCAGCTAGGGCTAAACACATTTTTGCTGATAAAATAACTAGCAGTTTTATTTTTAAGGTCCATAGAACTGAACTTTTTGCTGTGGAACTGTACACAGCAAAATATTACCACACACACAAATCACTCGCCTCTGTAAGTGCAGCAGGTGTCATGGTAACATATAGTAAACAACTTAAAACGGGAAACTGTTAGGTCAACCACGGGCTGTCCACATAAGAAATAGCCATTCAGACACTAAAAACGATACTTGTAAAGAATGGTTCTGTTATAGGTTAAGTGTCTAAAGCAGGACAGGAGTGTGTGTGCAGCATGACCGCAGCTATGTAAGTATATTCATAGAGGGGTGGCGGGTGGGGGAAAGGTACAACCTTCCAGTTACACGATAAAAACGATAGATAAATGAGGTTGCCAGGAATTACTATTTGATATGTTATTTATGCCATAACTCTGGTTTCACAAATAAAGTGAAATACAGTGCTTTATTATTTTTTCACAAAATCTGTAACACAGATCTCCCAACTTCTTAAAGCAGCAGAATCCTATTTACAAATGAAATCTTGCTCAAAAACCAAATAATCAAAACCATTAAAAGCAAAACGACTCAGGAGCCTGCCTCAGGTCCCCTCCACCACCACTGGGCAGGCGGCCTCTGACTCCGGGCGGGTGGGGGAGGCCGAGGGCCAGGAGCAGTGCCATCAGGGGCTGGAGCCCTGGCTGCAAGGCGCCCAGCAGAAAGAGGCTCTACCTCACCACAACAAGAAGTCTGCGGAGACAGGACCAGAATCCCACGGCAGGAGAGCAGATGCTGCTGTGCGGCTCAGCAATGTTTTATTAAAACATTTTCGTTGTCCAGCTCTACAAGGGGCCCTACTGTTAAATTAAGGCTGATCCAACCTCTTTGGAGAGAAGTCAGAGACTTCCCGACTCCCCTGGGGCTGCTGGAGGCCCTCACCCAGGCCAGGTGGGTGAGCCTGCCTTTCCTCACTTCCATACCTCACTCTCAGCCCTGGGGGCGCAGCCTCCGGAACCTTCCGGGCCTCTTACCTGGTTATCCGGGTGGTTGACAGTGAAGTAGCCCACACAGACGATGACCTCGTGAAGCAGGCTTTCACAGGAGACGTGGCTGCAGTGGCCCAGGAGGGAGCTGGCGATGTGCCGGAACGCGAGGGACAAGCCCTCCGCCCCTACGATGGACTGGAGAAGGCAGAGAGCGGTTAGAGCGCCCCCAGCGGGAGCGGGGCTCCGACCGTGAGACCGGCCGCTCTGCCACGCCGGTGCCGGAGAAGCACATACAGTCTCTGAGCACAGCGCTTAGCAGCCCCTTGGGGATTCTTGTGCTAACAAGTGACTATAATAAAGGCAAGGTGTAACCTGCAAAGGGACAGAAGGCAGAGCAGAGCAGACCAAATGCCTGGGCCACACGGACAAGACACCTAAGCAGGTTTATTTCTTCCCTTTTTAGGAAGTTATTTTTTCTCTTTGTACAAATAGTCTCACTGTGAAAAATTTGGAAAAATATCAAAATACGAAAAATCGCCTGTAAATCTATCATTTAGCTAACTTCCAATACTTTTTACACAGGGATACAAATAATTCTAATTATTAACTTATGCTCAAATAGAAAGGAAAGATAAATAACTAATTATTCAAATACACAGCTCTATAAACCCAAGGCTCCCAAAAGAATGTAAAACACCCAACCATCAGCCCCTGTCCCCCCAAAACACCCCCCCCCAGCTCAGAGGCTTCCAGGGCCTCTCTGAGGGCGGTGGGCGGTGGGCACGCGGGAGAGCTGGGTCTGCCTGCACAGCCGGGGCTTCTATTTAATAAACATGTCAAACAGAGTGACAGGAGGGCAAAGGGGAGAGGCGAGCCCACAGAAAAGGCCCGCAGCCCACACTGGGGGGAAGCCCGCTGCTGGCTACGGGAAAGGCAGCGCTTCAAACACATCTGCGATCTGAGATCGGGGCCGGCCTGAAGCAGGCCAGGTAGGTGGCGGCTTGGAAGTTTCCATGAACGCGCTTTGCCTGTTGGTGGTGAACAGCCTGTTGGGAGTGCTGTCGACACACAATTACTGCTCAATGTGAGTGTCTTCTGTCTCGGTGTCACTGCCCTGAGACAAAACGTTTCCAGTCCCAGGGAGACTCCGGGGGCCCCTGCCCTTTAAATCAAGCAGTGACATCTTCTCGCTCGGCCCTATTTAATTAGCTGCGTCCAGCATGCTGCGACCCCGCGCCCTCCGTTTAACCTTCACTGATAAGTGCAGGTCAAGGGGCACGTAAGTTTGAATATAAAAATTAAACCAATTTTTCAAGGAACCTATATTTCCTTTTTAGCCAGAATTAACTGCCTCGTCAGTACATTGATTTGTTTCTTGAGACCACCTTCAATTGTAAAAAGTGTCAGACCAGACGATATACAATGTCCGGGACCTCAGGGCCATCTGTGCCAACATGAATTCAGAGTGAACCCACACTCTGTACTGAAGGGACAAAATGTTCTGACAGCCTTATTAGTATACAACGAAATGGAAACTGGAAAATATTCTAATGAAATACGTTACTACGGCACAGCGAGGCTCACACCATAGCACACAGCTTTGCCGCGGCAACACTGAACCTTCCCACGCAACGTGTGCCTCAACCCTTCATCCCCACGAGCGGCGTTGGTCCGCATTTCCCGAGGACCTACTGTGTGCGGGCTCGCGGCGTCCTCCATGTAACCCTCAGACTCGTGAGTTATCTCTTTATCGAAGTTTATTCCTCCTGCCCGGTCCGGAGGAAGACCCTCACCTCCTAGCTACACTGCACATGAACTTGTGGTCGGTCACACCAACGCCAGCCAACGCTTCGTACCTGAAAAGCGGGCAGGTCCAGGGCTGCAAAGCTGTTGAAGAAACGCAGACTCTGAATGGCCACCTGGACCGTGCTCTGAGAGTAGCTCTCCTTGGGGCTGGCGGTGCCGGGGTCCGCGACGGCGCCGTGGAACAGGACGCCGTAGAGCATGTGCAGCACCCCCGCGAGGTCTGTGGCCTGAAGAGCCGCTGTCAGTCCCGTGAGGTCCTGGCGATTGCTGTCGAATATGCTGTACGGCCTGACAAAGAAACATGCGACTCTTTGCCTCTACTTCCCGGAGGGCAGCCTGTCTGCCGGTCGCGGGGAGCAGGACGAGCAGGCGCCGAGAGCAAACCACCTGAGCTGTTAACAGGGAGCAAGAGCCCTCGAGGCCTCCCTGCCGCTGTGCACACTGAGCGCGCGCGGCCAGGGCTGAGGTCGCCACCACGCCTCCGGTCTCCGAAGCCGGGTA